TCTTGGTCTTAACCATCCAACATAAAAGTATAAATACAAAGTATAAAAGGTAAATCCATATTAATATGCTGAGCTGTAAAAGGCTCAAGTCAACATCTTCTGACATTGCCAGTCATACAGATAACCCACTACTATTATAGGCTACTGGATTATATTGGAATACTTTGCTGAATTCATATATCTACAATATATGAATGGCAATGGTACACCCATCTCTGACAAAAGTAAACAAAAGGAGGGATATAAATGAAGGACCATTTTGTAGTGAAAAAAATATATATCTGTACATACAAAATAGCTAGCATAGATATACAGCTACTTTCTCTTAGTTCAATGAGAAGAAAGTTTTGACCCAATAGTGTTTAGACAAGATATCGTATCTGCATCTTGTACCATGAATATCTACTACAAAGACAGCAGTATGCAATGTATTAATTATTGTAACTGTCCTACTAACCTGTTTTAAAATTGTCTTGTTGCTACTTCTTTCTCAAGAAAATTAATATAAAAATAAATAAATAAAATAAAAAATTATGAATCACACAAAGTAGTTATTTACATCTTTTGACAAAATAGGAGCTATAGTAGCAGAATCAAATTGGAAAAATCCTTAGATTAAATAGGCAATAACTAGGTCTGCTGTTTTGGCATTCTGTAGTAAGAAAGTGATTGTAGTGTTTATTTTTTCCATAATTTTATTGATAAACAAATAGCAATAAGACAGTTTCAAATCAAATCAGTTGGACAGTTTCAATAATTAGCACATTGCATACATTCCTCCCAGTGGTTAATTGCTGTACAAGATGCAGACATGATATCCTGAAGAAGAACAAATTTCCTGTTAGCCATCATCAGACTTCAGACAATGATGTGGGCCTTCTTTGTGCATGTTTCCACTAACATTCTGTGTAGATTTCAAATTTCTCCATCTCTACATACATGAGAATTAATTTTTTAAAAAATGTATTGGCATTGAAAATGTTTGCAGTTCATGTAGCCTCCTTAAATCAATCTATCTTAGTCTCTATCTCCTTACCTCACCCTCTCTATATAGGTACATATATGCATTGTATTGTTACATATATGATTCTGATTTCTGAAACACCTCATCATCACCAGCAGATTCTGCAAGTGAGGATGCAATCAGGTTGCTCCATCCCTGAAACCATGAAAAAGGAAGTTATCAACCTGGAGTCTATGTAAGCGTCACATGGGGGCAGTGTTCATGCAAACCACAGGTTCTGATTCTATAATTAAATTTTTACATTTTTATTTAGCACCCATATAAAGTCAATGCAGTGGTAGGTGGAATGACTTGGAGTAACCAGGACTTACCCATTGCCTTCAAACTACATGCTAATGGGTTCTCACAGAAAAATACACTCACAATTTCTGAAAGGTAGCCTGACCACATTTCTAAATGCTTCACAGATGGCTATTCACAAAATACAGCTTAAGAACAATGGAACAAAAGCCTTCCTAGCTCAGATAGCTGATAGTGTACTGAAGTGGCATACAGTGATCCTTAAAGAACATACTGCTCAATTATATTAATTGTGTAAACTAATGCTATTGTGTACAATCACAACTGAGAAAACATTGAACAAAATATTTGTAAAATATTACCAAATCCTAAAACACAAGTTTAGAAGTGAGTAGTTGTCACATCTAAGACACTATCCTGCAGAATATCAGACAATATAGGAAAACAATGCATTCAGGTTGGAAGAAAATTAAATGTCAGAAGATATACTTCATGTTTCTCAACTTACCTAGGATGCCTCAGAGTTACTCTAAGGCTCTCACTTGAAAGCCTCCTCCCTTTATTAAGTACAGGCTTGTGAAGTCATGGCCACTATAACAACAGTCCCTCACTGCATATCTTTCCTTCTACTCATCCCTGTGCCTAGGGGAACCTGCATCCTGGAGGAGTTCATCTCCTTGAATAACTAATTAAAGACAAAGTAATTACCTAGGACCACACTAGGATAAATTCCCTCACAGTCCTTCAGCAGTGACCTATTACAGCTGCTCAGTTCATCTGACTATATTTGGGGAAAGGTGGGGGTTGAACAGAAGCTCAGGGATGGATTCCTACTTGTTTTAGGGACTGGACATAAATCTTTTGTTGCTGGAATGTACTTTTGGGGAGTGAATAAAAATGGCTGCAAAGACCATGAAAGTAGTCAAGGAATGGACTGCATGATTTAATATCTTTTAGGATCATGAAAGTTTACAGGAGGCATCATCAATCATTTTGAAGCATTGTATCACGATGAAAGACCCATGTCGTAGGAAGATTCCCAGGTGGCAGTCTAACACTATAGCACTGCTCACTGTAACTGGCCTCTAGCAGAGATGAACAGTTCTACTAACGAGGGTCACCCTCTGTGACATAACATTCTAGATATACTGACAAATAAGAAGGAAAGAAATGCAGGAAAAGATGGACTGCTAATGCCATGTTTTTCACTGCAATAGATCACAAGGCCATAGCTGACATTGCTTCTTCTACTACCATTGCAGATTCCTCCTCTACATGGCTATCATGAGCTGAATGAGTTCACTTACCTAGTTATATACATTTTATTTTTAAAAATTTCCATCCTCATTTGTCTTGTATTTATTGTGCCATATTTCTTCTTTTATTTCTTTTTATCTTTTGTGTGGTACCAGGGATCAAACTCAGGACCTTGTGCTTGCCAGGTGATCACTTATTCTGCTGAGCTATCTCCTGCACCCTCTTTTTTATTTTTAAAGAACATAAAAAATAGTAAAAAGAAAAAGAGCATTAGAAATGATCCCGAATTTCACTCAATAAAATGATAAGATTTGAGCGATTGTTATTCTATTGCATGTTGTTGTGTTCAAATTAGTTATTCAGATTACCAGATACAAACACATAAAATTGGTCAAAAAATTAAAAATAACAAAAAATTGAAATATGAGGTGATCCTTTCAATAGACCAGTAGACATCAGAAGTACATTTATCTATCATATATATATATATATATATATATATATATATATATATACCTTTCTTTCTTTCTTTCTTTCTTTCTTTCTTTCTTTCTTTCTTTCTTTCTTTCTCTTTCTTCTTTCTTTCTTTCTTTCTTTCTTTCTTTCTTTCTTTCTTTCTTTTCTCCTTTCTCTCAACCTTGTTGTTTCTTCTCTTTGAACAGTTCCTTTCCCTTTCACAGTATCTATTATAACTTTTGGATTTTGTTCACTCTTTCATGTTCTTGCACTAGAGAGACAATACAATGTTTACACATGTGGGTCTGATTTACTTTGCTTCTGAGTATGTTCTCTAGTTGCATCCATTTACCTATAAAGTCCTTAAGTTTATCTTTATAGCTGAATAATACTTCCTGCTGATTTTTATCACAGTGACTTTGTAGTATAATTTCAAATCAGGCATTGTGATCCCTCCTGCCTTTCCTATGTTGGCTAGGATTGCATTTGCTATTCTAGGTCTCTTCTGCTTCCAGATGAGTTTTAGGAATGAGTTTTGAGTTATACTAAGGGTAACTTAATTGGATTACATTGAATCTGTATAAAAATTTTAGAAGTATGGCTATTTCTGCAATGTTGTTTCTTCCTTTCCTCAAAATTATGGAATATGATTCTTACCCTGACTATCTATATATACAGACACCTGTGAACTAAGCAACTGCACTGAAGATGGCAATTTGTAATAGTAATTTCATGCTTGGAGTGCCTGTCATTCTGGTCTTCTGAATACAGGCTGCTTGTCATGACCTGCCAGTTGCTGCTGTGCTATCTCTCAGGTAGATGATTGTTCAAAAAGAAAGGGGTGGTGAATGAAGGCAGGAGACAGGAAAAGGAATGTTTTTGGACTGTCCTACTTCAAGGTTGTATATGGTTAGACTTCTGGACTTATGTGTAAACATAAAAATTATATAATTCTTTATGCCTATTTTAAAAATATATTCTAATTTTTAAATGTTTTTTCATCATATTCTGTAGGGACTTAAAGTTTAACATATCAATACTTGATGAAAAATATCTGTTCATCAATACTTGATGAAGAATATCTATCTGAGGTTAAGCTCAACAGCCTAGGCTGCATGGTAATAACAATAAGCTGCTCTTCTGGAGGGTTAACAACCTAAGTTTGCAGACCAAATTAGAGAAAAAGGAGGGTTGCAAGGAAAACCAATATTTTGGCCCTAGCCTTCCATGGTCAATTAAGACTCAGGACATATGAGAACTTGTGCTGTAATGTCATGTAACTTGGTAGTGTCCCAAGTTTTCTGATCAAGAAGATTATGGGGCCAAAGAGGAAAGTGATCAATGATGTAGAGTGTGCCTAAGGAGAGTCACATGGAGAGGAAACATTCTCTCAAGTTTTCACAGAGAGCACATTGGACAAGCAATGGCCATGGCTCATCCACATGGCTGACACTGGCAAAGGTTCTACAATCTGAGGTACAGGATCTCAGGAAAAGTCCTGAGGGGATTTCACTGACCTTATCAGACCCAAAAGCTACAACTCTTGTTCCATAGGTCTTGCTTTACCTTGGTCTTAACCATCCAGCAGAAAAGTATAAAAGAGAAGTATGAGAAGTAAAGCTATGGTGTTATGTTGAGCTGTAGGGGACTCAGATCAACAATTTCTGACATTGCCAGTGAAGTGGAAGACCCAATACTATTATGGACTACTGGATTCTTTTAGAATATTTTCCTGATTTAACACACATATAATATTCAAATGACAGAACTAAACCAAAAAGGGGATACAGATGAATGTCCATTTTGTGTCTGTGTACTCAAAATGGTTAGGATATATAGTTACATTCTATTAATGAATAGAGAGATTTGTTCTAATTGTGTTTGTAATAGGATATCATGTCTGAATCTTGTACAGCTAATAACCACTAGGAAGAGAGTATGCATTGTGTTAATTATTGTAACTGTCCTACCAATTTGATTTGAAGCTCTCTCATTGTTATTTGTTTCGCAATACAATTATGAAAAAAAATTATAGAATGCATGAATTCATGAATTTGCATGTCATCTTCACCCAGGAGCCATGACAATCTTCTCTGAATCATTCCAATTTTAGTATATGTGTTGCTGAAGCAAGGATTACTGTGTTTTACAGATTTTTTAAACATGTATTTTTGGACCATGAAATACATGATGCCCAAGGTATTCCCCAAGATTTCAGCTGCTGACCTCCTTGCTCCAGGTGTGTGGAAGTCCCAAGCATTTCTCTGTTAGTCAGTATCAATATTTCCAAGTAGAATGACATTTTCATTCTTTGTATTTTGGTTTATGTTGGGAGCCATGAAAGCTAGAAAATTGGTCAAATGTGTGAAAGCAGGACTAGGCCTTAGTGCTTAAAGCAGTCAAGATACCTCAGTCCTGAGATAAGTATGCTGACTGGTTCATGTCAACTATTAGTCAAGAGGCAACCTTGTATCACATGTTACTAACTTTGCAAAGGTATAAATAAATGCCCATACTGTTGCTCTGGGGGTCATTTCACCAACTGGGCAGACGAACCACCACCTAACCCAGCTCTTGTCTTCTTGTCTATCTTTTCCTGATTCCTGCTGCCATTTCTCCTTGTGTGCAATGGATCACACTAGGAGACCAATG